TGGCTTTCAGACTTTGCATTTTTCACAGATCTTCTTTGTCATATGAGCAACTTGAATGTCAAGATGCAAGGGAAAAATCAATTTATCAACGATATCTGGTATCTCAAAGCTTTTAACCTAAAACTTAATCTGTTTGCTGGGCAGCTAGCTAAGAACGACTTAGCTCATTTCCCGGGGTTAAATTCAAAGAAGCTAAAGGATTATGAAGATAGCTTGAAAAAAGCTGCATTTTTAGTTCGACCGCAGATTTCAAGATTTCAGTGCCATTCAAACAGAATTGGATATTTTTACCATGCCTTTCAACTCAAATTGTGAAGTAGTGAGGTCAGATTTGCAACTTGAACTAATTGAGTTGCAATCTAACACAATCATTTCAAGCAGTTGTTTCTAGATGTGCCAAAGTTAGAGTTTTACACATCATTAGCGAAAGTAAGTTTCCCAAATTTAATATATCATGCCCAGAAAATCAGTCCTATGTTTGCTTCATCCTATATATGTGAACAAGTGTTTTCAACTATGAACCTTAGAAAGAATTATTTCAGAAGTAGACTGACAGATGAGCATTTAGCCTCATTCCTTAGAATCAGTAGATCTCACTTCGAACCTCAATATAAGGAACTTATAAAAATGAAATATCAATTTCATTCATCTCATTAACATATTTAAATTGTAATCAGTGGTGCAGCTAGGGTGGGGCAAGGGGGGACATCTGTCCCCAAGCACAGCATCCAGGGTGCGCAAAATAGACGTTACAAAATTTTGAAATCAAATGTTTTTCGTTCTTGGCACACAGAAAGGGGTGGAAATTCTTCAGTTGTCCCCAGGTCTTGTAAACCCTAGCTACGCCTCTGATTGTAATACTTGTATATTGCTTTTAAAATTTTAGAAAAATTTATCTTGGCCTGCCATACTTTTTTTTTTTTTTTTTTTTTTTTGATTTTTGGCTTGCGACCGAAAAAGTTTGCCCAGCCCTGGTCTAAAGTATTATTGTGATCACAAAAAGCTGTGTTTGAAACTACAACTGTTTCCAATAATTCTAAGTATTTCAAGTTGCCCATTTCAGAAGTAATTTAAGTCTCATCAACTAAGCTGCTTTTCTTCAAAGCTAAAACTTAGATTATTTTTAATCACATTTGATATATCCTTTTGAATTCTAATACAAATAGTTAGCCTTATCATAAATTATGTGTAGGGCCATAATTTTTATGTTTTATGGACATAGTCTAATTGTATTAGACTGAAGTACTAATATGGAACCGAAAATTATGTGTAGGGCCATAATTTTTATGTTTTATGGACATAGTCTAATTGTATTAGACTGAAGTGCATTTGCTTTAAAAAAAAAGTTACTCTTAATTGTGTAAAGTTTCTATTCTTTAAAATAAAATATTTATACATGCAGGGCAATAAGCTTTATGATGTTAATGACTTAAAATGGAAGCAAAAGTGAAATATTAATAATTTAGGAAGAATAAAAATAGTCATGAGAAAGAAATTAAAAATTATAACTCAAAATTTTGCAAGCTTTTATGTACCTATGTCTGATTTATAAATACTGATATATTGAAATTTGCATATTATAGATAGCTGCTTTACATTTTGTAATTAAATTTCTATGGCAGAAATGTCATATTATGTTAATTAAATACATACACTCTTTTGCAAAAAATGCAAAGCGCCAAGAAGCACTTTTGCGATCGTGACGAAATTTGGTGTGCAAAAACATCTTGATCGAACATGCAAATGATCAAACTTTCAAGGCAAATGAATAGGAATTGCAATAATAGCACACATTTCTAGTGCACAATTCACAATGTATGAAACCAGTAACAGAAATGGAAAATTTATCTATTTTTATGGCTGGCATTTTAATTCCGTAAAAAAGCAACTAAAGATGCCATTACAGCGATATCGAAGACCTTACAGACAGCTAAAGAACTTCGAATGTGGTCGCATTTTAGGGTTACATGAAGCTGAGTGGTCATACCAAGCAATAGGCCACCACCTGCAGCATGCAGACACTGCTGTGCAAAGATGTTGGCAGCAATGGTTGCTACAAGGAAATTGCCAACGAAATGAAGGCTATGAAAGGCCAAGGATCACAAATGTGAGGCAAGATAGGGATGATTGTTTGCCAGGACCGAACTGCCCCAATGGTATCATTGTCAACTATTCAACACACTACACCTCTATCTATACTTCCCTTGGTACCGTCCGCCATCATATGGTGCTTGTATGAGGTGGGGTTGCGCTCACAGAGGCCTTTAAGACATTTGCCTGTGACCCCACAGCATTGGCAGAGTCGTCTGGAGTGGTATCACAGCCATTCATCATGGCTGCCATCAGACTGGCATCGTATAGTATTCAGCGATGAATCCTGCTTCACTCTTGAAGCAGATGACCACAGTGTTCGTGTCTGGAGAGGATGGGGCCAGCTGTCCCAATCAGCCTTTGTTTTACAAAGGCATACAGCCATAAACCCTGGTGTGATGGTGTGGGGTGCTATTTCTTATGACAGCAGGTCATCTTTAGTCATCCTCCGTACATCTTTAACAGCTGAACAATGTGTTGATACCATCCTGCGGGCGGTTGCATTGCCCTTCATAGCACGTCATCCTGAGGCCATTTTCCAACAGGCCACATACCGCTTGCATATCTCTGGACTGTCTCCATACGGTTGATATTCTTCCTTGGCCAGCAAGGGCACCAGACCTTTCTCCAATCGAGCATGTTTGGGACATGTAGGTCACCAGTTTCGGACACCACGAAATGTGGGAGATCTGGAGCGACAACTGATGAATGCCTGGCAGAATGTGTCGCAGGATGACATTAGGAACCTCTACGGCTCCTTGCCTTGACGAATTCAAGCACGCATTGCCGCCAGGAGCGGTTCGACCAACTACTAATTTGAACACTCAATGGGTGGTTGGGAGCTGTGAATAGGTACTATGACCTTGATTTTGTAATCATTTTATTATCTGTGTATGAGCCATACACATATTCAATTTCATCAAAAACAAGCACTTAAATCATGGTGCTTCGATTTCCCCCCCCCCCAAAAAGTGTATATTATAATTTTGATAAACGTTAATGAAATAATTGTTTTTGAGTATAAATAATTTATATACATATTAATGACAGATAATATTAATAATGGCTGTAAAGCACATTAATTAATTAATTAAAATTAATTTATTGCTGATGTTTTCCGTTGATTATAAATAAATTTTTGCTAATATCAAAACTTATAGCTTTAACCTTCATTTTTTAAGAAAGTCTCTTTATTTCAAACTTTATGATTTTAAAAAAGCACACCATTTGGAAATTCACAAAAAAGGAAATAAATAATTTTGTTAGACTTAGGGACTGACAAAAAGCTTCCATCACTTTAGATTATACATTCTGTTGTTTGGCATATTTAATTAATACTTGTGAATCACCATGTTAAATAAAATTGTATTAATTAAATTATAGGTGCAAAATACTTTGATTCATTCCACTCTTTCTCACCATCTGCTTTTTACATTTACAAAACTAAAATGAAATGGGCGGAAGTGTAATTTCTTTATTATACAAGCATTTTTTGAGAAAAATATTAAAAGTATTTTTAATACTCTTTTTTTTTTCTTTCCATGCCTTCCTATATTGCAGTTCAGAGGGTATATGATTAACTTGACTACTTCTTTTCAGGTTTAAAACCAGGGCCGTAATTTGCATTTTCATTTCTTTAGCAGTGCTTTCCTTGCTTTTGTTTTCACGATAGTTTGAAATTAATTTATTTTATTATACAGTACAAAGTCCGTAATCCGGACTCGTCGAGATTTTGCCGATTCCGGATTAAGGGTTTTTCTGGATTATAGATCATCAATTTAAATCTGATAAGATGGCATGAAGAAATTATTTAGTTAAAAATATGAAACTGTAATTTATGAAATAAAAGAGCAATTATGATCTAAAGGGTATCAAAATTTATAAAAAAAAAAGCTTAATATTTATTTGTTTACTTTATTAAACATTTCTTTCAATGTACATTGTAAGTTGCTTCGTTTTTTGTGCTAAATGTGCATGCATAAACATTAAACGCACATGCATAACATTAAGCGCGCATGTGTAAAGCATGCAGAAAAAAAAAATTGTGTCTTTGAGGTACGAATTATAGATCATTCCGGATAATGGACGTCCGGATTACAGACTTTGTACTGTATCTGAGTATTTTAGTTTTGCAATCATTGTTCAAAGTATATAACAGTAATATATGGCATTTGTCAAATCTTTAATTCTTTACCCTTTGTCCATTAACAGTGATTCATCTCAACAAAAAGAGATCTAATGGTCATTTTATGCTAATGAAGAAAGAACCGACTTTTGAAAACCCTTATACATTTTCATGGAAGTTATTTTTAGTGCTAATAAATCTTTCCATCTGCTGTCTCTGATTTATTTGACAAAAATGTTTTAGTAAATCCTTGAGATCAAGTACTCAGAGAAATGAAATGGGCGGAAGTGTAATTTCTTTATTATACAAGCATTTTTTGACAAAAATATTAAAAGTATTTTTAAATACTCTTCTTTTTTTTTTCTTTCCATGCCTTTCTATATTGCAATTCAGAGGGTGAATCATATGATTAACTTGAATACTTCTTTCCAGGTTTAAAACCAGGGCCGTAATTTGCATTTTCATTTCTTTAGCAGTGCTTTCCTTGCTTTTGTTTTCACAATAGTTTGAAATTAATTTATTTTATTATACAGTACAAAGTCCGTAATCCTTTGACTAATGTATATAGTTCGATTGTACCTGAAACCTGTATAATAATACTGTGTGGATTGGGTAAGTGAAATTCTTATTGTGTCTTAAGTGAAAACAAGTTGCAGTTGATAAACCATTGTAATTCAAAAAAAATGCTAAGTGAGGGTATTCTGTGTTTAGAAGGAGCTTTCTTAATCTTTTTGTTGATTTTTTTACAAGTTTAGCTGACTTTAACTAAAGCATTTTTCATTAGGAATCTATGTATGTGCCAGATCCTGTTATCTCCATGTCTATAAAACCAAAAAACCGAACAGATGTTGAGAATTTTTCGAAAGCTGTAAATAGGTTCACTAAAGAAGATCCTACTTTTAAGTTATATTTCGATACTGAAAGTCGAGAGGTAAGTACATTGTAGGAAATTTTAGTTTTAGTTTTTATTATAAGGTATGCACACTTAGATGACAATTTTAACATTTCATATGTGAGTCTTGGCACTAATGAAAATTACATTTTGTACTCATTAAACACTAAATTAAAAATTAAGTACTGTTAAATGTGTGCATGTGCAAGATTATTTCTTATGATATGCATGGCTAATGTAACAAATTAGTGAACAGTGAAGCAGTTTCTTAAATACAGTCAAATCTACATAAATGGACAGCTCGTGTCTCTCTAGATCTACAAAGTAAGACACAGTTATGCTTTGATATAGTGAATGCTCCTTGATAACAGATGAAAGTTGTGGTCTCTTTAGTGTCTGTTGATTGTATGTTTCAACTTTTATAAAGTTTTTAATTTTTTTTTTTTTTTTTTTTTTTATATCTTGTATATTATTATTTGACTAAATATTTCTGAAATGATTTTAATTTTATGTAAATTGTTATGTTCTATTCCTTAGATACTAACTTTTATAAATTTGGAACATGCTCTAAAGAATACTACAGTTTCCGAAATCGATTAAAAATTTATTTTTCTATTTAAAGGGGTATTGCCATTAGCAGCTATATTTGTCTGAGTTTCTCATATATTGATTACAGTCGTTTTGCCTGTGCAGCTTGTATGACATAAATTCACACAATAATCAAATTCATTTCAAACTCAGTTTATCGAGTCCATATTCTATGACATGCATTACAGGCTTATAACTGTAACAGCCTATAGTCCATGTATTATCCTATCACAAAGTTTGTGGATGAATTTAGTGATATGTAAACTTTGTCTTTAACAAACTTTTTTTTTTTTCCAATGGCAGATTGTAAACAATTACAAATGTAACCCAGTCCATTAATCTATACAAGGCAGGATGTGGTGGTCTCTTTATTATGGAGGCACCTAATAGGTGGGCCACCATCGTCTTTCCTATGAAGGGACAGACAGTTACAACAATGCCTTCTCTGGGATTCGAACCCAGGTCCTTTGGCATCGCAGTCAGCTTCCCTGCCCACTATACTGACTGGGCGGCGTCTGTAACAAACTTCTCCAAAAAAGAAATTGCACGGTATTAGATCTGGCAGATGGGGTTGCTGAAAGTCATTATCTCTATCGGTCCAGTGCTGGGGAAGAACATGAGAAACACTTGAACATTCCTGTGAAAATCTGAGAGGAAATTCATCCAATATATCATCAGTATTTGTGTATATTAAAGTATAATCGCATCAATTAGTATTTAGTTGAAATAACTAGCCATTTTTCAACATGCTCAAAAGTGAGCTGTTACTTTCTTCAGGGAAGGGGAAAAAAGAGCCTTTTTTCACAAAGCTCTGTGAAAAAAAAAAAAAAAAAAACTTTGACTTCAGTACTTTGACTTAGTACAATTACACTGCTGTACTTCTCTTTTAAACTATGTATGAAATTCACACTATTACATTATCACTATTATAATCATAGATCACACTCACACTATTATAATCATAGATCTGGCACTTCAAAGCAGAGAATACAGAAAGCTTTATATTATTATGATGTCGTCTTCCAATCAGGTGCAGCAAATAAATAATTATGAAAAATGAAATACTAGTAACATATGAGAAACTTGGACTGTTTCAAGTAGTAATAATTTGGATTGGACCCCTTAAGGTGAAAAATAAATTTAATCTTTAAAACTACACCTTTTTTTTTTCTGTGTGTCATATACATACATACATATATATATATATATATTGATCTATTTTGAAAATTCATCACAAAATTAATTGCAGAAAGTTAATAAGTGTGATAGTTAAAATGTAAATTCAGTAACTGTATTAAAATCTGATACATTGTAATTTATATGCATTTTTTTTACTCATAAATATTCACTCACCTTTTGTCAGTTACTGTACTTTGTGGTATGTAAATGGATATTTTAAACTGAAAAAATATTCCTCAGAAATCTATTTGATTTATATTCAAGATACAGAAATTTGGATCAGTTCTTATGAGCAGGTGTGAGATGTTTTTTTCTGGCAACTTAGTGTAAGTAATAAATTTTAGATTTTAGTTTATGGGAAACATGAGTAAAAGTATATATTAACTTTTCCAAATAAAGCACTAAGTATTAAAAAAATATATATTTACAAAAATGTAAAGGAGTTAAATTCTAAGCAAATTTTAATTCGAGAACGAAATTAATTTATTTAAATAATATTTACCAATAGAGCATATCAGAAAATAAAATTATACTAATAAATAAATAAATAAATTATACTAACAACAACCATATGTTTTCCCTTCTCTCATTAAAATCAAGCATTAAATCATATTGTTGCATTTTTCTTTTCTTTCTTCCGACACCAGTTGTTATGTTATTTTCTTCCTTCACGCTCGTACAGGGTTTGTGTGGATTTGAAGTGAATGACGACAACACTACTTAATTAAGCATCAAAACACACTTTATTGGCCATTATTGTCAGGACAGCTCCAAAACACGTTTACAGTCGTCGAAGATCTACTATACACTCGCTGGAACAATCAGCGACACAGCTTTCAGACTATCACGGTGGAGAGAGCTTCCTGCAAAGCACCTGACTCTGCTTTCCGGAGTACAGCTCCCGACTCTGCTTGGTCATTCTTGGAACTCCACGTACTCTCGAGACTCTCCACGCTAAAAATCACGATGCACGCGACGACACATGAGCACAGCTCCCAACTTTTCGGTTCAGTCGTTCCCGGAGCTCAACACACTCTCTCAATGATGCACTAACCATGATACACTAAGAGACTCCTTTGGTGCACTCACCAACCCACTCGGCACTTGTTGCCCAGCTGTCAACTCGATCGACTCCTCACGGCTCGCTAGACGAGGCACACTCTCTGAGACGCACTCACTAACTGACTGCGGACCAGCAGGGCTTATATAGCTTTTGGCTTGTGCTTGGGAACATTCTGGGCTAAACCAGTAAGAATTCTTTCCAGAAGGTTCTCCAACCGTCCATGGTATGTTGCCAATTTTGTCACCAAATGGGCAATTTCTCGCCAAATGTGCCAACCCTTCCTTCCTTTGCCATTTTATGGCAACCCAAAAACTGCTTTGTGGGGAAGCTAGCTTACCGCGCCTGTACATTTCCTAACACTGCCCCCTCCCAAGGACTGCACGTCTCGAGCAGTACAATCCTTGGTCAGAAGCATAATTCGATGCAAACAAAAAGCAAAAGAACAAACAAATAACATAACTAAAGAAACAGACATTTACATTACACACAAGTTATATACACAAATTAAATACATAGCAATTTTAAATTATACAAATTAAAGTTCTGAGTGAGCAATTTTAAATTATACAAATTAAAGTTCTGAGTGAATTTCAGTCTCAGTCTTTTCATTATTTATACCTGGGCCAAATACTTTTCCGTTGCATTTCTCAGATATATTTATGTTTAACATAGAGCAGTCTGAAGATTCAGCTCTTTGAAACTTTCCATCCACAGAAAGATCTGAAACAGTTTGTTCACCACTCTGTAGTTCATTCACAGCATGCGTACAGCCCACCTCGGTATTTTCAGTAGCTGGTACATGTTCATTTTCCAGCAAATCCTGGAAACCAGCTTCAAATTCTGCATCAGAGTCATGAACGGAGCCTGATTCTTCACAAACACAAGTATCCAGGTTTAGAATCAAGTCCTTGTCTGCACAATCAGCACTATGAGACGCATACCCAGTTTGCGAAGTGGGTGAATTTTCTTGCAATACTGGAGCGCACTGCTTAAGCTGTACATCAGCTTCTCCCATCTCTGCATCACATGTACTTTCAGATGGTTCAACACCTGCTGTCTGCGACTTTGTAACTTCACTATCAGTTTTGACGAACGTAACAGTTGCATTTTCATTTTCTTCCACTTCAGGCACTTGAGAATCAAAAGCTTTTTTCCTGTCTTTTATTTCTTCATGTTTCTGTTCTTTTTGTTTAATCCTGTTAGATGTTTCATCCTTAATTTCTTGATCTTTCTCAGACAATTCATTAGCTACTTCCTTCTTTTCTTCATCCTTTGACTCTTCAGATGCCACTTCTCTCATTTCCACATCTTCTTTCATGGCTCCAGTTTCTTCCGGAAGCTCGACTTTCACCTGTTGGAGGTGCTCTCGCACCTTTTCTTGGCCGACATTTATTCCTTCTCCCCGGGCTTTCTTATCTTCTAGTCTGGCTTTGATCTCAGCTGTCATCTCTTTATATATCCAGCTTTTATCTCATCATATCCAGCTTTTATCTCAGCACATCCGGCTTTTATCTCAGCATATCCGGCTTTCAACTTCTCCTCTCCGGCTTCCATCTTTTTTTGGATTTCAGCAAAGGCAGTCATGAGCTGTCTTAAAAGATCTTCCATTGGTCTTGTCACTGGCATTGACCCTCAAATCCCACTTCTGATACCAGTTGTTGCGTTTTTCCTTTTCTGCTTCTTCTGACACTAGTTGTTACGTTATTTTCTTCCTTCACGTTCGTACGGGGTTCATAGATTTGGAGTGAATAACGACGACAATGGATAAAGGATCGAAACACACTTTATTTAGCCAATAATGATCAGGACAGCTCCAAAACACTTTTACATTCGTCGAAGATCTACTATAAACACGCTGGAACAATCAGCGACACAGCCTTCACACTGTCAGGTAATAACGGTGGAGACAGCTTCCTGCAAAGCATCTGACTCTGCTTTCCGGAGTACAGCTCCCGACTCTGTTTGGTCGTTCTCGGAACTTCACGTACTCTCGAGGCTCTCCACGCTACAACTCGTGATAGTTGTTGCGTTTTTCTTTTCTTCCTTCTGACAGCAGTTGTAACGTTATTTTCTTCCTTCACGTTCATAAGGGGTTCGTGTGGATTTGGAGTGAATAACGACGACACTACTTAATTAAATATCGAAACACACTTTATTGGCCAGTATTGTCAGGACAGCTCCAAAACATGTTTACAGTCATCGAAGATCTACTATACACTTGCTGGAATAATCAGTGACACAGCCTTCAGGCTATCACGATGGAGACAGCTTCCTGCAAAGCACCCGACTCTGCTTGGTCGTTCTCGGAACTCCACATACTCTCGAGACTGTCCATGCTACAAATCGCGATGCACTCAACGACACACGAGCACAGCTCCCGACTTTTTGGTTCAGTCGTTCCCGGAGCTCAACACGCTCTCTCAACGATGCACTAACCTCAATACACTAAGAGACTCCTTCGGTGCACTCGCTGACCCACTCAGCACTCGTTGCCTAGCTGTCAACTCAATCGACTCTGCACGGCTCGCTAGACGAGGCACATTCTCTGAGACGCACTCACTAATTGACTGCGGACCAGCAGGGTTTATATAGCTTTCAGCTTGTGTTCGGGAACATTCTGGGCTAAACCGGTAAGAATTCGTTCCAGAAGGTTCTCCAACCGTACATGGTATATCGCCAGTTTTGTTGCCAAATGAGAGATTTCTCGCCAAATGTGGCAACCCTTCCTTCCTTTGCCATTTTATGGGAACCCTAAAACTGCTTTGCAGGGAAGCCATCTTACCGCACCTGTACATTTTGTAACAATATCATAGACTTAAAGTCAATCTTCATCATAAAGGAAATGTTATTTCATTATTATTTGTCTCTGGTAGTGCCTTTTCATAGGTATTCCATTTGATGTCTATATTTGTTGACTATTTATATTTGCTATTCCATAAGTAAGTATCTTCTCATATCAGTTTAAATTTGTTCTTGCATGTTAATTGTAAAGCCACACAGAATATCAAATAAGGCAACTCAAATTTCCTTTCGGAACGAAGGTTTTATACCTTTTGTCATCTACTTATTTTATTATACATTTGAACTTAAAATGATTTATTTACATCTGGAAATAAATTAAAGCTTTCCTAAAATAAAGTATACATTAGTTTTTGTACCCGCATTATATTTGTTTCATTTGGCCTGTTTATATAGTGTTTGATTATATGAGCTAAAAAATCGGTTTTTGCCAAATACCACCTTGACAATGATAGAATACATTTTAATGCATGATTTTATTATTTAATCTATAATTTTATTTCAATTAAAGTTAATGTGAACTAAAATTCTGTGGAAAACTGCTAGTTCAATCTAGTTCAATCTCACTGTCAACCTTCGTGAATGGGCCAGCTGCATGATTAGTTTTGAGCCGCCCAGTTAGTATAGTAGTTAGGGGAGCTAACTACAATACCGAAGGGCATGGGTTCAATTCCCAAAGAAGGCATGGTTGTAACTGTCCATCCCTTCATAGGAGGTAAAAGTGGCCACCTATTAGGTGCCCCTACAATAAAATGGCAACCACTTCTAACTTTAGGAGTAGCCAGTGTCAAAAAAAAGACAAAATAGTGCTCACCATTCGAAAAAAAAAATTATTAGTTTTCATAGTTTTCTTTATGTGTAATACAAACCTACTTTCCCTTAGAAAGTCTGGTGCTTGCATATTATCTTGTAGGGATTTATATTTATATTAACTAGCAAGTTAAAGTTTAATTTCAAACTTTTCTATAAGCCTTCATTCCCCTAATTGTCAGTAGCAGAATATTTAAACTTTGCAGCGCACGTGAAAGAATGCAAATTTCTAGTTTGAAGAAAGTATTTAAAAGCCGAGTTTCAGTGGGAAAGAGAAGAGAGTTAGGCTATAACTGCCACCTCTGCCGTAGATACGTTTGCTTATTGCTGGTTCACGTGGCTTAATTGCATTTACTTGCTGCCACTAGTTTCGAAGGTGGATTAAGTAAGGGAATCTCGCTGAGCCCTTTAGGTTAGTTCTATCACTTGTTAATATCTTCCACTTTTAGTTTCATTATCTGATTTTCAGTTACCGCCCAAGCAGAGATAAAATTTTTTAGCATCAAGTTGAATTGTAAATTTAAAAAAATTAATAAAGGGTACTTTTAACCCTTCTTCTGTGGAGTTAGTACTATCCCTGTTTTAACACAGAGTATATTAACTGGACTTTACAATCTTGTTGCATGTGAAACTGTTTTGACAACATAGTGTGTTGCTTATGAATACTTTTCAGGGAGGTGGGGATAATCAAAAGTACCATTTTTTCTTATGTGTTATACAAATAAACTTTAACAAAATTACACTATAAAGAAACAAATTTATTTTTTATTAAATTCATTTATTATTTTCTGAAACTAAATATTCTCTTTTTATAAGTATACAAATTATGAATAATTATTAATCAATTGCTTTGGATAAACCTTTACTGTTGGGTTTATGTCCTGCTGTCTTTTAATATTTATTTTAAATTATGTGGTTAGTGCGCCAAGAATTTGTTTGTCTGCATCTTTTCAGATGTAGCTTTTCAACTTAAACACTCCTTGTAGCTGGTTTTTTTACACTGTGCACATCAAGCAAACATGTTTTATGCCATGGCAAATAGGAATACATTCTTAAAAATAGGACTTTTAAAGTTTTTTTTTTTTTAAATTAAAAATGAAAAACACTATAAAGAAAACAGGAATTGAACAGAAATTTCAGTTTTAGTACTTTTTGTAGTCTTGTTAATTCTATAGCACAAACATGGAATGTTGCCAGAATTAGTGTAAGGATTTTCTTTAAGGAATACCTTACTGCTAAGAATTTTGTCAATAGCTTATTTATGTAGTAATATTTTTTCCTCTTAAAGTGTAAAAATAACATTGAAAGTCATTTTGTTGGTAGATACACAATATTTTTACATAAAATTATTCATTGCTTTTTGGAAAAGTGTTCTGATCTTCAAGAAAATTCTCTATTCTATCTTTGCACTGTGTTCCCCTTTTTTTGGAATAATTTTCTTTGTGTGTAGTTCTATTTAAAAATAATGATTTTGTATAGTAATAATAATTTATATAGCTGTGTATAATATTTATCTTTGTTAATTATAGCTTCGTATTCAGTAAACCTTGATTAAATAAGTTATCATTGTGTTTTAGTCAGTTCTTTATGTGCATACATTCCAGATTCAGTGTAAATATTAGGAAGGGAACATTGTAAACAGGAACTCAGAAAAATGTGATTTATAATCCCTGGTATTCTCTAATTTCCACAGTCTTAAGTCTCGAGCTGTGCAGATTATCAAAATACTACTATATTATTTTTTTGTCTGTCCTTGACATACCTTATTTTAAATGAGTCTCTTATAATTGTAATCATAGTAGAGTGTTTATTGTTGCAACAAATAAAAGGACTCTTTCTACGCAAGTATCTTTATGAAGCTATTTTTATTTTCTCTTTTAAATGACTGAAAATCAAATACTGAAAGTTTAACTTTTACATTTTAGACAGTTGTGTCAGGTATGGGTGAACTTCATTTAGAAATATATGCCCAGGTAAGTGTGATTATGTGTCAAGCTTTTTTTTTTTTATTATTTATTTAGTTAATTTTAAAGATGCCTTATCTTGATGTAATGAATTAAATCTTTTGTACTTTCATGAGAATTAAAAAAATTTTATAACTGAAAATTTTTAATGAATATATTTTTCTATAATTTGCTTATATATGCTGCCCTCCAAAAGTTAACATCTGAACCTATTTTCCTTCAGTTATTTTTGCATTTGCATCTCTTAGCTTTATCTTTATATCATGTTTGGGGCTTCCAGAATACAGGTGTGTGAACTTTTTCATAAAAAATATCCTTCTCCTCCTCATTCTTATATTCAGTTGGTGTACATATATTAATTATACTATAATTAAAGAATCTACCTTTCATTCTAATCCTACATAACACGTTGAGTGCCACGTCAGCCATCTGTGGCTGACACCAGACATAGGTTGTGTCGTCCACCACTGGCTGACAGCGTGTAACATGATATACAACTATAAAATTTACACTGTTTTATGGAATTACAGAAAATTTATTTAAACTTTACTTAATTTTGATTCATTACAGGATTAATAGATTTCATTGAAACACGGTAATATAAAAATGGTTCTCCATTACAGCTATTACAAAATGTGACAACTCTCTTAGTCTTTTTTCTGGCCATTACTCTACTAGCTTCTGTTGCATTTTTATCATAACATAATTTACAATATTTCCATACTTCAGACGCTTTTCCTGGTTTTCTTTGGAGTTTATGTTGTCGTTTTTTAGATATTCTTATATTTCTGTTCGATGGAATGTGTTCTTTTTCACAACTTGTAAAGGATAGCGCTAATTCTTTCCAGAATTCAGTAATGCTAATTTTCTGCTTCGTAATATCTTTGTATAGAATGTAACTATTTACAAAACAGAGTTGGCGTGTAACGTGTTGAATGAATGCCTATAGGAATCACATTCCAAACATAAACGATCTTCTACAGTGATAAGAATCACTGGCCCTACAATACCAGCTCTTATAAGCGGCAATGTGTGGCCTGAATGGGATTGCCTAAGAAATATGTGTGGCACTCAAAATGATAACCTGGGAGACTTAACTTCAAAATTGATAATAATATGTCTAATACTTTTAAGAACAAGCAAACCCATTCCAAACACATGTTTCTCAGCATCACAGCTGTAAAATATAGCAAAATTTCTGCCATCCTGAATTCTCTGTGCTATCCATCTCACTTCCTGAAGTGCTATCAAAGTTAATTTTATTATCATCCATTGATTCTATTAAAGCAGAAGGGCCCTTCTTGAAAGCAAATGCAAATACCAAGTTCCAAATTTCATGTCCCTCAAATCTCTTCCAAGTCGCTTCCGCGTAGGTCATTCAGAAAATTCTTCCTTTGATTTCATAGCAATAGGACTTTTATGGGCGTCATGCCTCATACCCAACCCCCCAACCTGGAGTACCAGTCGCCTGATACAATTCCGAGGGGCAGATTATCTGGCTATTTCCCTGGACACTGGGTACCTATTCTAGTTGCCTTTTACAACATCCATAGGCTACACTGAGACTGTTTTTCCTCACATGGCTGAGAAGACAATGTTATCTGTAGAAAATTTTGAGAATGCATTAAATTCGATTAAAAATGATATACTTGCCATGTAACAAGCATGCAGGATAATTGCGGGATAATTTTGAGGTAGAAAAAAAGTGGTTTAAATCTCTGTGGTGCAGATTTAAGAAGAAACTGATGAAGTGTTTAAAAACTTACTCAAAATATTAAGTTTTTATCATTGGATGAACGGAATGCAGCGAGATTTTGTATATGGACTATACACAAGATGCACTCTTGGAATTTTTAAAAAGAGTTATTAGTTCCGATTCGTCCACCAGAGGGTGCTTTTTCGGAAAAAACAGGAAATTTAACACAATGAACAACCAAAACGGAATACAGAAATAATATTAACATTTATTGACTAGTTTCTGATCACCTTGTCATCGAACCACATTAAGTAAAGATAAGGGAGATACAAAAACAATTCAGTTTGCAGAAACAAGAACAGATTAGGACAAAAATTGCACAAGAGGAGGCAGTTGCCCAGGATGATGTAGGGAAAGATGCTTCACATGATCACCCTCATTCACCTGCAAATTTCAAGTTGATGGACAGTGTGTTCAATAGCAGATCGTAACTGATCAGTTGTGAGGCTTCGCACATGAAGCGTTATGAAGTTTAATGCCTTGCTCGGAGTTAGATCCGGCGAACGTGGTGGCCATGGATTAGGAAAGGAGCGACTAATAACACGTTCCTCTGCTATGTGTTCGAGCAATACCGCCTTCACGGACCCATAAATATGTGGGGGCGCACCGTCCTATTTGAAAATGGTCGACGTAAGGACCCCGCTTTGCTGTAGTTGCGGCACAACAATCGTCTGCAGCATGTCATGGTACCAATGGCCCGTAATGGAACATGTGACAGGCCCACATTCACCAATTTCCTTAAAAAAGAATGTCCCAAGGATGAATGTTGCCGTGAATCCACCCCCAGACAGTGACCTTTGGAGATTGTAGGGGAATTTCAGTATGGATCCGCAGATGTTCCATAACCCAAATGTGGCATTTCTGTGTGTTGACTGTCCCATTGAGGTAGAAGTTAGCCTTATCACTCCACAGAATATTCCAAGGCGATGACAAATCAACAGTCATTATCTTGAAAATTGTCTGCGAATGAGAGACGTTGAGGCTTGTCCCTATCAAGCAGCTCCTGGGTATTGCGGATCTTGCATGGGAAGTAATGCATTATGTTTCTGAATACTTTTCAGACTGTGCTATAAGAATAGCTTGTCTGTCAAGAAACTACACATGTGCTACTGCCCCCAAACTCTGATGTATGTGACTGTGTGTCAACAGCTATCTTGATAGCATCAACAAGTACCGGTGTAACACATTTATGGTCTCTTCCAGGTTAAACTCCTAATTTCCCCATCTCTTCAAATTTCTTAATCATGGCTCGGATATCTTTAGTAGACAATGATCCATGCTGTAGGCTTTTTCTATGACGGAATTCATGAACTACAGCAGAAGCATTCCCCTTGTTTTCGTAAAACAGCCACACCAATAACGCACATTTGAAATAAAGAGACCGTCATTAGTACAGTGGAAACATCGACTTAAACATCGGCTTCCTCTTCTTCCCAAGCATACAAGTCTAAACATTTTTCTTCTACAACTGACAGCTTTTCCCGGTTTTGCATTTTATTATTCATAATTCTTATTCTGGATTGTTAATATTGTTTTTGTATTCCGTTTTGGTAGTTTACTGTGTTAAATTTCGTGTTTTTCCTGAGAAAGAACCCTCTGGTGGACATTTCGGAACTAAATTTTATTTTTCGAAATTCTGCGAGCGCGTATATCGTGTATAGCCCATATACATAATTTTGTTGCATTCCGTTCACCTGTTTTCTCTGTAAGATGCCGTTTATAAAGGAAGTTTAATTATAACTACCTGGTATATATAAAATTATTGTTCATTGAATGGGAGTTTATTTGTTCCCCTTGAAAAGTCAACTAATTTCCAATAAATAAACATTTCTTCCAACGCACGCATGCATAAAGCATACATTGCGCGCATGTGTAAAGTTTGTGGCTTTGAGGTCCAGATAATGGACGTCCGGATTACGGACTTTGTACTGTATATAAAAACAAAAGTTTAGAAATTTAAAATTAAGTTTATAAATTATTAAAATTCGGTAGTATGCTGTGAAATTAATGAATTTAATCAAGAGATAGTAATTAATTCTTACCTATGATACAATTTACTTAAACCAAAGTCAGAGTTAATTACAGAATGTGTAACAATTGTAAATATCTGTGTAAATATGTGAATAGTCTCTTTATCTCTGTTACTAATAAAGGCCATTTCTATTCTAGTCCTGTTTTGTGCCAAATTGGTGAAGTTTCCTTTTCACAGCTTTTTTCTACTTCCCATTACCTACATAGTACTCTTCTTAAAATTATTTTTTACATGCATTTCTTAATATTATTTTGTTTTTTAAAATTTAATTAATTTTTTAATTTTAAATTTCTTTTTCCAAATTTCATGTCTTTTATATATATATATATTTTAACATTTACTTTTTCTGAAATTAATTTTAATGTAATACAAAGTTCGAGATCTGAGCTCATTAGGACTTTCATGATTTCGGATTTGAAAATTTTCTGAATTTTAAATCTAGTAAGATGACATGGAGAAAATATAAAATTAAAAATCTGAAATATTTGTTAATGAAAAAATGAAGCATAAAAGAGTAAAAGTTTAAAAAAAAAATAAATAAAACTGAATATTTGTTTATTTGCTTTATTAAACTTTTCTTTCAATATATAATAAAGTTGTTTAAGTTGCTTCATTTTTTATGCTAATATTTTAATTTTATAGATTGACATAATCTGTTTTTGAGTTACAAAGTTCATATCTTGTATATACTACTCTCAGAATCTTAATACTTTCTCCCTTTTTGCAAAAAAAAAAATCTTTAACCTTCCAGCACGCATGCTTTGGCAATTTCATATGAGCACGCGCGCATCGTATTTTTTACAACATCAGTTAATTTACTGTTTTTGGCACGAAAAAGACAGAAATGCGTGATTGATAATAGATTTGTTAAGAAATAAAATATTAACCTTTTTATTGCAAAATATGAATAGTCACATTCAAATGAAAGAAAGTTATTTTTAAATGCTTGTCAACTTTTTTCCAAAAAAAAAAAAAAAAATAGCTTGATCAGAGATATTAATCAAAAATTCTGAAAAATGCTAATTTTCACTTTCATTTTTCTGAGTGGTTAAAGTCTCACATGCTGGAGATAAAAATCTGACACTGCTCACTTTCAAATCTTCGAGTTTGTGTTTTTCGCGCCGACTGTTACATATACGTGCCAACAAGAAACGCACTCATTTCCCGGTCGACACGCTGGTGTGCCGGAGCCTTTTCTCGTTAACCCCAGGCCAGTGCCAG